TCATATCTCTTAAAAAAAACCCTAGTGTCTTTCGCTATCTGTGACAAACTCTTATCCACCTCCGTACAATGTAGAAAACAAGAAGCTAAGTTATTTAATACAGAATCGAGATCCGCTTATCAATAGGCAATTTGTAAATATTACTTTCAATACTTAATAAGATCGACCGTTAAATCCAATCTATTGTTCAAAGGTAAGATAAAGTTATCTCTCAATTGTACAAAGTTCTGTATATTAGGAGGTATGGAAACAATTGATAGATTTACGAACCAGCCACCTTCTTTTGTGAGGTAAATGAAGAAAAAGGAATCAAGAAGAAAGGGCTGAGGATCAATCTTGTATTTCTCTAACTGCCTCAACATTTGGATTCTGTACGTTAGGATACAACGACAACCTAACACTAACACTACTCTCCAACATTCCATCCCTGCCATGATTAACGTCAACAGAGGACACTGTCTTCTGATAATAACGAATAGACCTGATATTTTTAATATTATTATTTAGTAATTCTTCCCTCCGTTTCGGCAACAGCCAGCAACACTTCGAATCAATTCTACTCCTTTCGCGCAAGAAGAAAAAATATAAAGATTTCCCTTGTTTATCAAAAAAGGCGTCGCAAATATGAATAGGAAAGCAACGGGAATTATTAAAGTATTGTTAGAGAATGATTATCCATTGAATTTTATATTTTTATACAGAATATTAATAATCGTTTGAAGAATATTATTATGGCTAGTAATAGGAAGAGTGTTGTCAATAGGATTGAAGTAGTGCAGCCTTCGTGTTTCACTGTTAAACAGATTGAATAGTGAGCGTATAAGAGTATTGTTCTATAGTACTAATAAATTGCGAGAATTCATTAGGGTGCATAAGGATCCTTAACCGCGTAACAAGAAGTCGAATGTTGTTTATAAAATCTCGTGTAAGTATTGCGATACAAGTTATGTAGGACAGACATGTAGACAGCTGAGGTCAAGAATCACGGAGCATAAGAACCACATCCGATGGAACACCTCTACTCGTAATGTCGTAACGAAACATCAATTACAAGAGGGTCATGATTTCAATTGGGACGATGTTACAATACTGGACGAGCAGCCTCACTATAGGAAAAGATTGATTTCGGAGATGATATTCATTAAAAGACAGACACATGGACTCAACTTGCAGATGGATATGGAGGGGCTTCCCAAGGCCTACCTCCCGATCATAGACAAGTTAAAGACTACAGTTGTTGTCACGTCTAGTCAGTCAGTGTCGTCCGTACGAGTCTTTCTGGCAGTAATGAGTCTTTCTGGCGTGATTTTTTATTACTTTCCAACTTTCATTTTCATGAAATTGATTAACGTTTTAATGTTAAATTTTTCCATTTGTAACCTTGAATAATACTAGATAAAACTAAAAGTGACTCACTGTGTCTGATACTGACTGGTCAAAATATCAAGAATCGGTTTTTGAATAATTCATAGTAATGTTTGCGATATAGTTTGTGATTTGTGATCAGGGTGAGCGTCCTTATTTTCGGGATAATTAATTATAATCTTAAAGTTTTTTGATAAATTAGTTTTTCATATTCTCTATTCCGATGTTTCTATCATTTCCTTATTTTCGTTCATTTTTTTTTCTTTTTCTTTCACTCTTTTTGGGTTTGATTCTGGCATTTGAATTCTCGAGGTAGGAGAGTTCATGACAGGATAATTTTTATTTACAATTTATTTATGTTAGTTTGTGTTGTCTTTGAGGAGAGCTCAAAAGTAAGCCGAAATATGTAAGCGTGTTTTAATGAATAAAGAAGTTTCACACTTCAGATATATTATTTGCGCGACGTCTTCTGCGCTTGACTCCTACTGTCCGTATCCTTTCTTTAAATAGTAAACAATTAATTAATAAACTGGAGGATATAAGATTGGAGAATGAGTATGTTTTAGTATCATTGGATGTTGAGTTTCTCTTTACAAATGTACCAATGGATTTAGTTGTATCAACAAAAGATAGGATTTCATTATCATATTTCTTGAAACCTAATGCAATCTCGACATTAAGATATAAAATGTGACGCAACAATGTGATACAGAATGACCATAGCTGCGACGAACGTGTCAATAGATGACTCGAAATTAACGGAATTAATACGATATCGGGTTGACACGATCACGCACTGCGAGCTCACAAATGCGACACAGTTACTCACAAAATACCAGACTCAACGAAACTCGACGTTATAAATGCAGATCCATGCGATCCCTTCGATCTAGAAATCAACGGCTTTACAATATATTACGCTCGTCTTATCACGAAATCCTTCTACTCCTGCACCTGCTCTCAATATGCCTCGATCTGCGATAGAGTGCGTCCTCTCACACACGTCCTGCGCCAAACTTAGCCACAGAATAAGTACCGGACTCCTTTTGGGGGCAAGCAGGCGACCGTAAGCCCTTATCGCGTCCTGATCGATCGCGAACCATCTCATGAATCTCCCGCGAATCGCTATAACGTTGCGCGCTCTATATCCTTTAGATAGCAAGATATGATTTCTGGTTGATATCCTCTTCGGCTGCTTGTAAAACTCCTCTGAATTATCTTGGCGGAATATCTTTAGGATTCGATGGGCTCCTTGTTTGGACGATCTCCGGGTTTGACGTCTTCTTCCAGCAGAGGTTTCCTTACGACATCGGCAGTGTCTCTCGTACTATGGCAGAGAGTGGCTATTCCTTCATACTGCTTTAGTCGCTCCCTTTTTGTAATTGTCTATAAGAATTCGGCGACAAGATGATAAGTTGATAAACAGGACATTTTAATTTAAAAATTTCAGAATGGTATCACCTGCGCGCTATCTCTCCTCTGAGTGGCCTCATGTCTTCGATGTGAATCTTCTATTTTTTTCCTTGCCGCCAGTTGAGATAATGCCTTGTACAACAAATCATATACTGGAAGCACCGATTAGCTTAAATAAAATCGCGATATGTCCGTCCTTCATGTTAGGAGGACACAGGATGAAAATATCGCGCCATTTCGGTCAAGTTGGATGACTCTTGTGACAGACGATGAAAAACATTACCACGCATACCAATCTTTTAGTTTCACAATCTATGATTTTACACCCTTGCAAGTATAAAAGTCCACTGTAACGCTTTTTCCCCCTGCTTTGGGGCGTACGACTTTTTATGAGAAACGACTTTCATCCCATTTCTCCTCCTGCTTCAGAGCGTATGATTTTCTACGCGAAGCGATTCCACTTCCCCTTGCTTCAGGGCACACGACTTTCACGCTAAGCTATTCCACTTCCCCTCCCCCTACCAAGGGACACACGACTTCCACTTCCCTTTCCCCTACCAAGGGACGCCACGCGAAGCTACCTTTTTTTTAATTTTTAAACTATACAAAACCTGAAGATAAAATCTTCATAAACAATCATTATATATCGTACAATATTGTCTGTAAAGTTTTAGCTCAATTGGAAGGGCCACGATCGCCGTTTTTATTTCGCGCCATATTTTTCCGGATTTCGTTAGTATCCCCCCCTCTCCCCTCCCCTCAGCATATGATGTCGTGAAAAACTGGTGAGAAACGATTCGGTAGTCTTCATGCATGTTCGATCGAGTTCGAGGCACCGTATACGAGGACTTAAACCGGTAAAAGAAACGATAATCTGGGGTGCATTGTTACAAACGTAAAAATAAATGATATTTAAAATTTTTCTTTTTTTATACAAAGTCGATTATTTGTAATAGTTATTTTTGTATATACTTAATTATGTATAAAAATTTTGTAATTCTGTTAAGCTAATTCAAACCAGAGAACATTATACAATACCATTTTAAGGCGGTATTCATTTTTTATATTCAAGGCCGTCTTAAGTACAGTCTTAAGATGTCACGAACCAATCAGAGGACCGTATTAGCATCTTTACACTATTTGAGATGATCTTAAATTAAGAACGAACTATGAATACCGACCTGAAACATCTAAAAGATGTCCTAAAATCTTATACATTTTTTTAGGATTTTTTACTCTTACGAAAAAGACGTCTATGGACAGTATTAGTTCATTCTTATTTTAAGACCGTCTTAAGTAACGTGTTATTTTAATATGCTAATACAGTCCCCCTCCCTCTCTCTCTCTCTCTTTCTCTCCTCCGATTGGCTTATGACATCTTAAAATTGTAATTTTAAACATTAAAAGATCCAGCTTCGACCGTTATAAACCTTTAATTTCTAGTATTGATTATGTTCTCACATACGATCTAAAATAAAGTTTCTTAATATTTTAAGACCATACTTAAGACAGTTTCCAATATAAGAATCGACTATGAATATCGGCTTATAAGATATTTCTCACTTTATGCCTTTACGGCTTCTTTCAGACGTTCTTTAATGCGGGGTCTATAATGGAAGTCACGCGGGGTCACAGACGATCATGAAGTCTTAAGTTGTAGGAAATTGATCGTAATCATATGATTACAATCATAATCAAATATGGAGGAAAATAATCGACTATGATTGATTAGTTTCCTATGATTTAAGACCCTACAACCATCCACAATTCCTATTGTAGATCCTGCATTAGACTTTTTACATTTTGTGTCTTTTAGTTTGTCTTATAATAATTTTGATATTCTTCGATTTAAGTTTATATTATATATTAGCTGTATTTCGATATACACTACTGAAAATCTGTTAATATTGATAGTCTAGAAAATATTGATTGAGAATATTGAATACATCTTATAAGACATCAAAGGACATCTTAAAATTTATATATGTTCAGGAAATATAAGACGTCTTAGATATCTTGAGAACATCTCTATGACATGATGTTTGAAACACATCTTGATGACATCTTCAGGACGTCTTATGTCCACATTTTGGATATATTGTTCTCAGGGTAGTATCTTGATTTGATAGTACACTTGGTTCTCATAGTTTCGATAATTGTAATGATATCTACAGCTATATATTCAATAATATTAATAAAATACTTTAATGGTATTTTTATAGGATGAGAATACCGATGCTACGACCGTTGCGACGATTAATCAACTTGGGAATATTGAGCAGGCTGGACTGTCGGATAGTGGACAAGCGATCGAATTCATGACTCAGGATGGACAGAAGGTTCGCGTCTTAACATCGTATCCTATCGATCCGATTCAGTTAGCTTCAGAATATCTAACTATTGTATAACGAAAGAAAAATTAATAAATGCGTTCATAATCAATGCTGTCTCTTTTGTGAATATTTTGACTATTGAGTCATTAGAAATTTATATAGAAATTTATAATAGCAAAAAAGAAGAGAATCTCTTCAAGAGATTATTTGATATCTTCATTCTAACATGATTGTGTTAAACATAATCTTGCTATCTGTAACGTTTCTATTGGATTAATGATGCAATTTATTCGAAATTAGAGCGGAGCTAATACGTCTAAGCATAAAATCTTTTAAATCGCTAAGAGATATAAATGCGATACAAATCGAAAACAGTGTACACAGGATTATAATTATTATCATAACTATTATTCCATTAACCATTTTCACCAATTTCTACTAATAGCTCAATGATAATTGATTTCTTATATAGTGATATAATATTAATATATTATCACTATATAATAATATTATTATATTATTATATTATACATGGTAATAAAATTATTATATTTGATAAATCTCGTAAATTGATTTTTTTTATTTCACTCTTAATACTTTTATATGTGGAATAATTGGAGGAATAATATTATGTAAAAAAATCCATAAAATATAATTCCATTTTAATAACTATAGATGCTCTTTATATCTTTTTGGCGCCTTCACCTAGAAAGAAATAATGTTTTTTTTGCATCTTCTATATTTTTCGAAATATGTTTCTGTTAAGATCAAAATACATATATCACCTCGTATGTTAATAATTATATTATTATTATTATTATTATTATAAAAATTTGATACAATATGTGTACAAATTTATATATTAGCATTTATAGCACCATGCGAACTTAGATTTATCGGAGCATATGCTGGTGTATGCGTGCGTACGTGTGTGCGTACACACATGTTTAGTTACATGTATACAGGATATTATCTTCAGGAAATTTACAACATACTCAAAAGAATGAAAGAATGATCTGTTCGAACATTTTTAGTTTTAAATATCTCGTTCTAAATTTTTTCTAAAGTCAGGTTTTAATTTTGCTGAATGCTACTTAATTTAAGTAAATAATTATAAAGTTAGATTAGTATTTAGAAAATTATTATGTGAATTTTTAGTAAACCTTTACATTAGGAGACACCTCTTCGATGACCTTGACATATAAAGGTGAAGGCACTGATCAACTTTTCCTTATGAATTAATCAGCGATCTCTTATAGTTTCTAAGATATTTAGATCTTTGCTTTACTAAATGACTCGCTCTTGTCAAGGGAAATGAAAATAGGACGTCTCTGAAGCAAGGAAGGAAGTGGAATAAAATTCGCTTTGTGTGGAAATCGCGCGCTCCTAAGCAGGAGAAGGGGAGGTGAGATGAGAATCGTTTCGCGTGGAAGTCGCTTTTAAGCAGAAAAGGGGGAAGAAGTGAAATGGAAGTTGCATGCTCCTAAGCAAAGGGAAGGAGATAGGGTGAAAGTCGTTTTACGTGGATAAATCGTGCAATACACAGAAAATAATGAAATTTTGAAAACGAGTTTTATGTAAATTAATAAGAATTACTAGTTATGGGCTCTCGAAATTAAAATAATATAGGAAATTAGGCAAATGAGAGTTCGGTGCAGTACTTGATGCACAATAAATGATTATATGTATATATAAATTATGTTCTTGACTTGAACGAGTGTACAACAAGTCAGAATATAATTTATATATACATATAATCATTTCTTGTGCATCAAGTACCGCACCAAATTCTCATTTACCTAATTTCCTATATTATTTTATGTAAATATATCTCGAAAACTATAAAAATCCGCCGATTAATTTATAAGGAAAAGTTGATCAGTACCCTCACTTCTATAACATATATCAAAGTTAAGGTCATCGAAGAGATATCCCCTAATATAAAAGAATACTGAATCTTTTTATTGCAAGAGTGATCCGTTTGACCACGTTGCGATTGACTATCAGCCATTGATTAAATGAGTCCCTTTCATTTATTACAAGTATCTTGAGACGACATTGTCGAACATGCATTATTTAAAACAAAAGTTATTCAATTTTGCTTTAAATTTGTTGCTACTTTTCAAAAACACTCTATATACATCATTGTACATATGTATCAGTCATCATAATATATGTTGTGTAACATTTATTTTTGCTATACATGTCACTAATATGTTTATAAATTCGCGAATTAAATTAGTTTATCTTATGTGTACATATAGTCTAATGTTAGATATATTATTTTACAACATAGATATATTATTTTACAACGATAGATAATGTAGAACGTTTTTTTATATTTAGCCATGTTAATGTAAATTGTGTTGATTTATTACATATTTAACAACGTTGTATATATGATATTAGAGAAGAAAGAACATTTTAATTTATATGAAAAAAATGCTCCTCGAAAGCTCTCTTGTTTTGTAATCAAGCTTCTGAATAAATTTTAGCTGTTTTCAACAGTTTTTTTTTATTACATTATTTCTATGAGTAATAACAATATTTTTGAAAAGATTAAAATTATTATTTTATTAGCATTTTTCTTCTGTAATAAACGTCACGGGGGATGTGTGCCATCCAGGATTGTAAGTAATTAATTACTTTTTAAATTCAATTACATGTTTAATTGATAGTTGAAACGATCGAATTTAATTAAACACATCATTCAATTAACGATTGTTTTAAGTGCATTTAATTAAAACATTTCGATTGACAATTGATTCAAACGGAATTAATTAAAAGACGTTTTCCAGAATTCAATATTGCCTGCACGTCCGATTTATGAGGTCGCGCTCGCGGACGCGCACACGCACTCCTGAATCGCCGAAATGAACAACACAAATGTTAAGAAGAAGAACAAGGAAGCGTTTATTAATGCAAAATACAGAACAGAACACCGCGAAAGATATTAAATGGAACAATCGAGAGATACGTCCGTACGTGCCGACAGCTCACATCCAAATTTGATGATCTTGTTGTCAGACAGACGAATGCCTAATCGTCTCGGCAACGCGTGCTCTTCGCTACACCACAGGCGTAGCGAAAAACATGGCAAAACATGGCATAACAATATTAATTATAATTGGCGCATTATCTAACACCAGATAATAATAACTAAAAAATGGATCATTTTTCAATTCAAGTGCGTTAGTTTTAAACGTTACGACTGCATCCAAGATCTGTTTAATAAAACAACAGCTGATGTCTACTAAGCAGAATAATTTACAATTTCAAGTCTTTTCCAAATAATACAACATCTATTTTTACACGATTTCTATATTGAATAAGGCTCACAATTATACATAACCGGAGTAGGACATCCACTATGAAGATTTTTATATTGTATTTTTGTTATGTCCAAATTCCAGAGTTCTTTTTTTCGATTAGAATTTTCGTCATCACCATAACAGTTATTAACAAATAATATCAGTAGATCATCTGTTTCTATCATAGGAAGTTACAATAGTGACGAACCGAATAACATTCGCCTTTTTAGACTAATAATCCACTCGGCACGAATTTTTTTATTAAATATTTGAACCAAGTGCCGAATAGACGAACTTTATCCCGAGGAATAGAAGAAGTAAATAGATTAAGAATTATAAACTGAAACAGTAATAAGTTGTCTTGTAACTGAGTAGTTGTCTGTAATAAATGACCCATGTTTAAATTATTGAGCCTCCGATAAATGGTCGATGACGGAAGTTGTTTTAGATACATATCCCAGTATTCCATTTCACAACCGATATCTTTAATCCTAATCTTATATTAGATTAGTAACATACGCGAGGTCCGCACTATTAACTTGCGAATATAAAAAGGAGATCCTTCGTGAACAGTCAAGCTTCATCTCCGATACGAAACTCTGCCGGTTTGTGACTATACAAGTTATTTAGCCAGCCGACACTCTGCCAGTCCGCAACCGTATTGCTTCATCGATTTTAGTGGTTGAGCCGTGATCAGTTCGATCAAGCGATCTTATTCGCTTATTACTCGACCGAAGTCTCCAAATCGCTGGATCAACCCTCCCCTTGAAATCCTACAATCACAGAGATCAGACCTCCGACAGTTATCCTCGAAAACCAAGACTTGCAGAGTAGAAGTAAGTCTCTTCTTAATTTATATATATATCCGTATATTTACCGCAAAACCTAACCCAACGCAAAACCATAATGACACGCTTAAATCGCCCCACAAAGGATAGCCTAGAAGCCGAAAGACGGAAGAGAGGAGACTCCTGGACCACTTCTCGAGATTGGACGCAGCTGACGCATTGCCTCCATCACCTTCGCTACTACCTGGCTTCGTCAGCTCTACCTGTTAACCGAGACACGTTAGAGGTGATACCTTCTCCTTCACCTTTCCCTCGAACTCCTTCACTTCCCCCTGAACTCCTTCACCTCCTCCTCGAACTTCTTCATCTCCTCGAGCTCCGTCACCCGTTTTCGGACGCTCTGACAGAGCGAATTTTCACTGACACCCCTCCGCTAATACCTGATATCATCTGTCATCTCAATCTTGTTTTCTTCCAGAACTCCGTCTCCGACGAACTCCACGAACAGCATGGAGTTCCTAGAAGAAATCCTCCACCAAGATCCTATTTTCGTATTCAAGAGAGTGACTCATTTGAGTCACTCATTAGACAATTCTCGCGGATTACCGAACCTATTCCCGAGAGGATTTTTACGATCGAGCCCCATTATTTTGATTCACAAGAAATCCGGAATACGGGCCAACCTCCTCGTTCCTGTATTCCGGTGTTTATTCTGAATTCCGCCTATCCATATTTAGTTCCGGTGAAATTCTTCTTCAATTTTTTTCCTCCTTCCTCTGTTACTATACGCGAAATAGAATAAATAAAAACCTGTCTGCTGTGTTCGCCTTAAATCTTTATTCTCTGGCGATTATATAACGTGTAAATAGTTGATAATAACTATCTTGTCAATTTATGAATTTTTTTTTCTTTTTATTATAATAATCATATTAATTAATGTATAAATTAGTTCATAATAATAAATTTATTAATGTATAATCTTTTTCTTTATTTTATATAATGATATTATA